GGAGGAGGAGGAGGAGGAGGAGGAGGAGGTGGTGGCTGCGCAGCTGCTGCGTCTGAGGCTGGGGGTGCGGCGGCCGAGGAGACGGCCAGGTGGGGCTGAGGCGGGCGGCTGCTGCTCGAACGGGAGGGCGTAAAAAGCGTTGGTTAGTGGAGGTGAAGGTGGAGAGGTGGCTAAGGACGGCTCCGGCCGGGCATCGAGCAGCGGGTTCCGTTCAAGCATTGTTGAAGCAGGAAACCGCAGCCACTCCCCTTCTCTGCGCTTCTCGCCTGCGTTTTCTTTTGCCTCATTTTACCTCAGCTTCCCTTGTCTTAAGATAGATATTTACATTTGTCACTTGATAATATTTAGCAGATATCTTGGATGAATGTACTACTTCTCTCCATCTTCGCTTGGCTAGACTTTGTTTTAAAGTTTACAACTTCTATTGAAATCAGGAGTAACTAAATCTAAAATCTAAATCTAAAAAGAAACAATAATGTTTAGTAACCACAACAGGACTTTGACTCATATCCTTGTAGTTATTTTTATAGATAGATATATAATGTTTATTTCTGTTTTCTTATTTTATTCTCATAGCAAATCTTGGATGTAGGTAGTACTAGTATTATTATTACACTTTACAGACTACAACACTGAATTTCTGTGTGAGAATGCAACATACAGAATTTTTATGGCTAATGAGACAAGTCACAACTGCAATCCACATTTTGTAACTCTATGGGGAGATTCCCACCACAACCCCCATATCTCTTAACAAACTGTCAACCTAGATGACTCCTACCATCTACCTTCTCCATTTTTTCTTCATTACTGCTGAATGTCGGTAGAGTAAATCTCACAACCATGGTGATTTGGGTACACCAAAAATTCATATTATTAAATTTCATTTAGACTCTCATTACCTCATTCCAATTTTCCATTATCTACTGAGTTCTTTGTAGCATTTTTCCAAACCTCCCCTTCTCTCTTCCACTCATCCGTATCCTTGTTCCTCTCCCACTAAGCAGCAGACCTTGATTCATACTTTAAAAAAGAAAAAAATAATAATAATTGAGATAATCCAATATAAGCCTTTTCTGTTCTCCAATTCTGAGTTGTTGAAATCCCCTTCAAAATATCACCTCCATTCCCACTTTCTTTTTAGTTTTAGTCTTAAAAGAAGAGGTGGCCCCGTTTCTTTGCTAAGGAGAAGATTTTATATCTGTCCTTGATCTCTTTTAATTCCGAGCTTACTCCTTCAGTTTTGCCCCACTTCTATTCATTGACTCCTTCTTTACATCCTACAGACATATATAAAATCTTCCCCACACTAAAACCAAATTACAAAACTATTAACATTCTCCTTGTATTCCCACTCTTTTTCTGTTTCTCTTTCTAGCTCTTCTCATCTTTGTTTTTCATTTCTCTTCCTCCTTCTCTGTCTCTACCTTTCTGCCTCTGTCTCTATCTCTCTCTGTCTCTACCTTTCTGTCTAACCAGACTCCAACTCTATATCTACCTCTCTCTCCCCCACATTTATTTTTTCATATATCTCTCACTTCTCAACAACTTCTGGCAATTAGATGTCGCAGGCATCTATTGATTGAAAGTAATCTCCCTAAGGTCATAAGTGATGACTTTATTGTTAAATCCAAGGATCTTCTTTTAGTCCTCTAGAAGCCTCTGAAGCATTTGAATTTGTTATTCAAATGCTACACTGCTACTCCTAGATTTTTTCTTGATCCTTCTCTCTCCTGGTTCTTTTCCTACTCATCTGAGTATCAGCTGTGAAGAATCATCTTCCTTCTTCCTGATAATTACATTCCTATTCAGTGACCTTTATTTTTTTAATCTATGTTCCTTTTCTATGATATCATTGGTTCCCATCAGTTCAACTTTCATCCCTATGCAAATGATTCTCAAATATATACATCAAGCTCCTGTTACTGCATCAACAATTTCATTTTCATTTGAATACCCCAGGAGCATCCAAGCCTTAACATGTCTGAAAGGACTTATTCTCCCCCTACCCATAAACCTTCTTTTACTTTTCCTATGTCCATTGTTGGTGTGATTATTCTTCCAGTCACCCAGATTTGCACAATAGAATTCCTTCTCAAGTGTTCACGCTTCATTATCCCTCTCATATATATTCAATTAGAGATTTTTGTTAATGCTATTACATACTCATAATTATGAAGAGAAAAGAACATATGCACCTAACTGTAAACCTAAGTTCTACAATTCCATATATGGAATTTTAGGAGGGATGTATATTGCAACAGAGGCTTGAGGTAATGACATTAGTAAAACTTACATTCCCAAACTCTAAGCTATACCTTTGATATTCTCAAGGATTAAAATAGTCAACCTTGCATGGAGAGAATGAGACCAGAAAGTCACTACAAACAAATTTTGCAATCTGATAAAACTATCTGGAATATTGAATGTTTATCAAACACTGAAAAAAAAATCCCCTTTCTATAATTAGCTATTCATCTTTTACTAAAAGAGTTAAAACATCTTATTTTGCTCTTTCTCTTTGTATTTTAGTCAACACCCAAAAGATGAATTTGTCCTGAGGTGCACTGAGATTGCCCTTCTCCTTTTCAATGCTAATCTAACTATCTCAAAAGGCTCCTCAAATTTGGTGCAGTAAGAAATGATTCCATGGGGCCCAGTAAGAGTAGGATGTCAGACTTTAGAAAATACTTTTGTGGATCTAAAAATGTAATCAGCATCGGGGACTAGATGAAATGATTGAAGAGTACAAATGTGAAGAATACAGAATATCCTAATTAAAGAAAGAGAAGTGCTGCTATTTTTTTCTGAAAAAAATATGTAAAACAAGAAATATTGAAGACAAATTCAAACTTAACAGCTCAGAGAACCACAAGCAGACAACAGTTAGACCATAATCTTATGATGTAATGATAGGGTGGTATTTCTCAGAAAGAGTAAATTTATAGCATTATAAACATACCCTAGTAAGATAACTATCATATTAAGTTTAGTTGTACATATTTTATTATAGCACCTGATGCCCTCCTTAAATCTAGACAGCTGAACAGTATTCAGAATTCAAGGTACAATGTAGATTTAACTCAATTTTGACTCAAAACTAGAGCTCATCAGGGGGACAGAGCCAAGATGGTTGAGTAAAAGCAGTGACTTGCTTGAGCTCTCCCCCAAACCCCTCCAAATACTTGTAAAAAATGGCTCTAAACAAATTCTAAAGCAGCAGAACGCACAAAAAGACAGAGTGAAACAAATTTCCAGCTCAAGACAACCTGGATGGTTGATTAGAAAGGGAAATCTCACCAGGTGGGGAGAGGAACACAGTTTGGTGTGGGCGCATTGGCAAAACAGTACTCAGTGAAACTGGAGCAGCCCTCAGAGGACTGAATCATGGACATCTGTGGTGATTTCCAGACTTCTCAACCCAGGAATGACAAAGACAGCTTAGAAGGTCACTAGGAAAAGTCTGTGACTGAGGTGAGAGAAAAGCTCATTCCCAGCCCCAGTCCTTGAGAGCGAGGCCCGAGGGTGGTGACTGCTTCCAGAGCTTCCAGAACTTCCAGACCACATATTAAGGGGGAATTGAGTGGCTGATCAGAGGGGTATTGCAGGTATCTCTTTGCCAGTGCTGAGGCAGGAATATCTTGCTGTGCCCATGCTTGAATCTGGGTCACAGTTGTGAGGGGCAGTTCTGGTATGAGGAGGAGTGCTGGTGGGGTGGAGCTTATAGTGGAGGTGGAGAGGGAATCCTCCTTACAGTTCCAAGGCAGAAAACAGTGCTTGTGGTCACTCATAGATCAGAGGATAGGCCAGGAAAGGAGTAAACACCTCGCCTCTTATCATAGCACCTTGAAAGAACTGAAATTTACAAGTCCCTCGAAATATCTCTGAAAACAGCTGCATAAAACACCTGAAGCTTGGGACAGTATATTCTCCACACTGGAATCAGACTCCTACCTTAACAAACAGTTTAAAACTCAAGTAATTGGCTGGGATTATGAGCAAACTTTGCAAAAGGAATCAGACCATAGAATTTTTCTTTCGTGACAAAGAAGATCAAAACATACAAGCAGAAGAACACAACAAAGTCAAAGCCCCTACATCCAAAGCCTCCAAAAAAAATATGAATTCATCCCAGGCTGTGGAAGGGCTCAAAAAGTATTTTGAAAAGTAAGAAAGAGAAGTAGGGGAAAAACTGGGAAGAGAAATGAGAGTGATGCAAGAAAATCAAGAAAAACAAGTCAACAGCTTGCTAAAGGAGACCCAAAGAAATGCTGAAGAAAATGACAAACTAAAAAATAGCCTAACCCAAATGGCAAAAGAGGTCCAAAAAGCCAATGAGAAAAAGAATGCCTTAAAAAGCAAAATTGACCAAATGGAAAAGGAAGTCAAAAACCTTACTGAAGTACTGAAGAAAATACTTCCCTAAAAATTAGAATGGAGCAATTGGAAGCTAGTGACTTTATGAGAAATGAAAACACTGTAAAAAAAGAAAAAGAATGAAAAAATAGAAAACAATGTGAAATATCTCATTAGAAAAACAA